TAATTAATATATGCTCAATGCTATTAGCTACTATATGATGACATATTCTAAGGGGAATTTTACCCCAATTTATGTATTATTTGCACCAAATATGAGTTAATGGTATTAACAAARAATAAAATAAAACWWAYAATACTTTATTGTATATTTATCATTAATAAAAGTTTTTTAAAAGTTGCTTAAATGCTAGGCAGTGACAGGATATCTTCTTGTTTTTGATAACATTTTAATTTATTATTTCACAATAATATTAATAAGTAAATATTTTATACGAGTAGCGGCCTACAGGGAAGGCGGGAAACCCGGTATCCCACTCGTCCAGTCCACCACTGATACCTTATAATTATTTACGTGTTAGTAGGAGCCACGAATCRTGGTTATATTCTATTTAGCAATGACATGAATGTTATGAATCATTTTTGCGGGCTTGTGGCCCAAAACTAGCACCATATACCCGGTCCGGGCTGGCCATGTCGACCGGCCCGATAGTAGCCCGCTAATGACAAGGCGGGGGGCAAATTCCCACCTTGCCCCCCCCCTCCCCCCAAATGACGCCACTGATTTGCTGGTTAAAATTTATTCATTACACAGTGTGTTCTTCGATTTAGGGAACACTGAATTTCTCGGCAAGATTTGTTTGGAATAAATCCGATTTTTTTTACAAACTGGTGATATATGAATACACATTTTTTGATACATTTCAAAATTTTTTGAGAAATTGGTCTGCACAGTAAAAACTTTTTTTAAATAGCAACGTTTTATTAGGTTATTTTTAACACCATATTCGGATAGGCCTATTTTTTTAAAGTAATTTTCATGCATCAACTATGGCTCTAAGTTCAATATTGACGGAATAAGAGCCATATCAATTTTACTAATTAATACATTTTTAAACATTTATAAAATAATTTATAATTAATTCTTATTGGTTACTTTTTGAATATTTGTACGTATTTTTTTAGAAATATTATAAACAAGACTAACATAATATGGATACAACATTATTTATCAAAAATCGACTAGGTACAACTGGTACAAATGAACAATAGTTATTTTATAATATACAATAAATTAAATAAATTGTTCAAAAATTGCTCTCTATTTTCAGCACGACGGAGCTCCTGTTTATAATGCTCATATTATTAGAGATCATTTAAGTTGGGTATATCGTATATGAGGGAAAATGATTTGTCACTTATCTTCCCATTGAATGGCCAGCAAGATCTCCAGATATTACTCCTCTCGATTTTTTTTTATTTTAAAACAATAGTCTACGCAGATCCACCAGTAAATCTAGCAGATTTAAAAATAAAATCGTGGTTGCGTATAATAACCTTACCAAAAACCAAATAATGTCAGCAACCAATAGATGATGTCTACAGCGTTTTAAATTATGCTTCGACAATCACGGAGCAAATTTGTACAATTTAWTTAATTTATTGTTAAATTACAAAATAACTATTGTTCACTGTACCTGAAGTTGTACCTAGTCGATTTTTAATAAATAATTTTATATCCATATTATGTTTGTCTTGTTTAAAACATTTCTAAAAAAAAAATTAGTACAAATATTCAAAAAGTAACCAATAAGAATTAATTATAAATCTTTAAAAATCTTTAAAAATAATTTTAAAAATGTATTATTTAATAAAATTGACATGGCTCTTATTCAGTCAATATTGAACCTAGAGCCATAGTTGATACTGATACATGAAAATTATTTTTTTTTAAATAGGCCTATCCGAATAAGGTGTTAAAAATAGGCGTTGCTATTAAATTAAAAAAAAAGTTTTTGCTGTGCAGACCAAATTCTCCAAAAATTTTGAAATGTAACGAAATATGTGTATACATATACCACAAGGATCAGTTTGTAAAAAAAAAATCGAATTATTCCAAACAAATCCGGCCGAGAAATTCAGTGTTCCCTAAATCGGTGAACACACTTATATTCATCTGCATATATATATGACGAACTAATTTAGAATGCAAGGTTGCAATGTAGAAATTTTGAATTATTTATATATGAGTATATAATATTATATAATATTCTATAATACATATTACATCTCACCCATGGCTAACCTTTATTTACACTAAAAATATTTAGAATAAATTTACTTTTATTCTATGGATTTTATTAAATATAATATAATCATTTCTTTATTTTAAAATATTGATTAATGATTAATGATTTTAGAACAATGAATACATACATTCGGTTGTTCGCTGCTTACAAATGTTACTTCGTCGCGATGAATATAGAACTGCATTCATATATTCTGTTAATGGTATATCTACTCTTTTGAGTTTATTATCAGGGCGTGTTAACTTCCAAATTCAATATCAACTGATATTCTGCGTATGGGCTATGACATTTAATCCAAGTTTGGCTGAGCGAATAAACGAGTTAGATTTTATAAAAAAAATTTAATTTTACTACTGTAATTCACAAACCTGTTTTTTWTATATATATATAGATTTAATGTTATTCCAATTTTGGCAGATATTCTTAATGACTCTGTTATAGAAAAAGTCACACGAATTATTCTTGCTGTATTCCGGGTAAATTTATTGTTCATTAAATTTATTTTAAACATTTTTTTCTAATTCATAGATATTTTAGAATTTAATTGAAAAACCAAAAGATAACACTATTTCCATAGAACATTGCATTGCAATGGTCCGTTGCCAAGTTTTAAAACAACTTAGTATTTTTGAACAGAGGGAATTTAATGATGAAGATATTGTTGAGGATATACAGTTTTTAAATGAACATCTACAAGCATCTGTGCAAGATTTTAGGTATCTTTTGAAGAATCTTTATTTTATATAATATAATGCAATTCACTGATTTTGTTTCAAAAATTAATGTTGTACAGTTCCTTTGATGGTTATGAAACCGAAGTAAAATCTGGTCAATTAGAATGGAGCCCTGTGCATAAATCAGTACAATTCTGGCAAGAAAACGCATCTCGTTTAAATGAAAAAAATCATGAACTTTTGCGTATCTTAGTGCACTTGTTGGAAACAAGTAGAGACCCACTTGTTTTGTGTGTAGCTAGTTTTGATGTTGGTGAATATTTAAGACATTATCCACGTGGTAAACTGTGAGTAAAACGTTGTATATTCATTATTTAACTTACATTATAACAATTTTATTTAATATTTTACAGTATAATTGAACAGCTTGGTGGAAAACAAATTTTTATGCAACTGTTATCACACGACAATCCAAATGTACGGTATGAAGCACTCTTAGTTGTACAAAAACTTATGGTGCACAATTGGTAAGATTTTAAATATTAAATTGTTTGTTAATATTTTTTTCTCCTCATTGATTTCTTGCTGATACTTTATAAGTTGTAATAGAATTAATTCTAAGTATCTATGACMGTATTTAATAACTTTTGTAAACTRTACACATACATATTTTAGTCCTTGAAATTTTTTTATAATTCTACATTAACATATGTTAACTGACATGGGACTGCCTTCATTCTCACAATATTACGGTATAAGAGTATTTTTACAGTCACTGATGGTCACACCATGTCGTTATTTATTGTTTATACACAATATTATATAATGACCCTTGCTGTATGACATAAACATTTATTTGTCAATCGTAGGTTTTTCGTGCGTTAGACTTATAATGAAAAAATAATTAATTCATTAAAAATGCATGAGATAGAAAATAGAGTATGGCCATATCAATCTTAACTCCAATTGGCGTCATTCAGTATATTATGTGAACTTATTAATGGGTAAATTTACTCTAATTCTTAATCTAAAACTATGAAAGTTGTTTTTGCTAAACGAAAATTTGGTATGTCGAGTATTGGTGAAAGTGAGAAAATAAATAGTGCTCTGACTCTTACCATTAATTGATTGTAGTTTGAATGAAAACATTTTCCAATAAACAAAACATCATGTTTTGCTGTATATTATGTGTTGTAAAATTTAATTGCAAAAATTCAACTTTGAGTGTATACTTTAATTATGAACTAGTTTAGTTTTTAGATTTAATTTTATATATTTAAATGTTTACAAATTCATAAATTACATTTATACATACTAAATTATTATGGAAACATAAATATTTTTGATTGAACACAATTTATACCAATATTTATTTGAGTATTTAAATTTATTGAATATTAGTTAAAAACAAAAATATAACAATTTTAAATTTGATGATTTATATTATATTATTGATTTGTAATTTTTAAATTTATTTTAGGGAGTATCTTAGTCGTCAGTTGGAGAAAGAACAGAGTACCAGTAAAGACAGAACCGCTAATATTACAGAAAAACCTTAAAAGTTATTTGTACAAAAAATACACTTCAAAATATACAAATTAACTATGTACAGTTGTTAAAGTTTTCATTTTGTAGATTTCTCATAAATACAACACTAGGTTGAAAAGATTAATATAATATAATAACTTCTTTTCTGTTTATTTATTTATCATAATTAAAGGGAGTAAGCCCTATTGGCTATTGCAATATTCATGTGGAAATAAAATAACAATTTACAGTATAAGTTTTGTGAGTTATTGAAGTTTTTTATCCCTTTATGGTTTAATACACATTTATTAATATTAAAATCACTTTGGTCCTCTTGATGGATCTCTTATGTTGTCCAAGATTGGATTTCTAAGTGGGAAAGTTGTATGAAACTAGAAGGTGAATATTGGAGATAGCCATGAATCTAAATACTCGTTATAGAGTTCATATCTGATATTATGAATGATGGTATTTTTAGGTATTATGATAAATAAGTGAATTAATATAAGGCTACAGGCCTACAGTATAGGTTTAAATTTAAAAAGTAAACAATTTGAAGCAAAGTAAATCATCTAAATGGTTTAAACTCACGTTGTTTTGATGTTAAACTTGTCCAAATTATTTTTTTCTGCTAGTTGAATGTGTGTTAACAAACATTTGTCAATGACTTATTTTAAATTTACTTAATAATTAATATTGCACTAAATTACTAAAAATAAAGTATATACTGATTCAAAATTAATTTAAATTTTTGACTGCAAAGAAAGATCAACGTAGTAAAAAAAAAGCTTCCAAATAAGAGACCTGATGATAAAGACAATTCTAATCCAAGAACGGCAAGAACAGTTCTCTAATTACTAAATCTTTGTGAAATAATATATTGTTATGATTAATAAAAATGAAACCGTTTCAAGTCAAATTGAAGTTTTAAGTCACCTAGATTGACGATACTTCAAAAAATACTAACATACAGAAMACAAAAAAATGTGTGCTGTTGACAGTGTAAGTATAAAAAAAGTCCACTGTAAATCATGTCAGTAATATAACTTTAAGAAATATTTATTATAATTAAAAATCATTAAAATTGTATTTATTTTATTCAGGAATTAAACGAATAAAGAAAAAGAAATTAACCAATATAATAATGTCCGTCTTGTGAAGGAATAATAATTAAAAAACGTAACAACAGTAATTTGGGTAGGTGCACTATATGCCGYAGTGAGCAAGTCATTTAGAAACATGTTTGGCATTCATAGACAGAACAATTAACTGTTCAGCATGTCCTRGAGACAATGAGGATCGGTGATCACTGATCAGTAGGGCAGAGGACTTGTAGCTATAAGCCCCGTATTATTATATTCTGTGGCCCGTTTCACATGGACGCGTATCATACGCGACGTATCGTACGCGCGCGTTTTCAGTTRCCTACATTAGTTAAATGCATACGCGCCACTCCGACGATGACGCGTTTTGCTTGCCAGTATGACGCGTATGAACTTAATCAATGTAAACGAAAAACGCGCGCGTACGATACGTCGCGTATGATACGCGTCCATGTGAAACGGGCCTAATTATACGCAAGCGCTTGTGCACTTGAAAACCCCATAAAATGCACTTAACATTTTTGTATGTGCATTACGAATGTGCATTCCGTACAATTACTGACTGAGACTAAATACTAAAATACTGATTTATTGTCATATCTAGAAACGTTTTATAAATAAATCCTAATCGAATAAAAGCCCGCGTTGTGCGCACAAAGTTGTGTTGGTGATGTCGTAGGTATAGTGTACGACGTTAGATCGTTATCGCTCTTACGAAAAATGTGTGCCCGCGTATAGGTACTCAAAAACCATATTMTACGACAAAAATTAAAAATAAATAAATTTTTACCCAGACCCTTTGACTGTGTCGTTTGAAATAAAAATGTCACAGTGGAAAAATCGATTTCAGTTAAAAATGTCTCAAAAAGTWTAAAACAGCGTATAAAAGTGTAAGATATGCCTTAAAAACAAAAAAATACAAAATATGCATTTATATGCACAATAAAATTTCAAAACTAGCTTTGTGAAAGCATGAAATGTATTTGTATCGTACTCTGCTATTTTYGTGACTGTGCAAAACGAACATGCAAAATATGCTTCAAGTCCTCTGCCCTACTAATCAGTAATGACATAACGAGCACAACTAAAAATTCGTTCACTTGGTACACTTGGTTAACCGTTTATTCGGTTTTCACAGGTATACCGGTTATTCGGTTTTAACGGGATACCATTTATACGGTTTTTTACGGTATACCGAAAACATCGTCAGCCCTAGACACAGCACGACTTTTTTTTATTCTGGCATTTCGTTTGAAGCACAGTCCACCTGGCCGCTCCCGCCTCCCGTCAACACTCCTATGGATTTGAGATTGTAAAATTTCAATTTGCTAAGCACCCGTTTTACAATCATGGTTTAAACCTCGGTTATGGTTGAACCACTGAATTTACCGTCCGAATTCCGTGGTTTAACCGGAGTTCAACCAACTGTTGTAATACGGGCCATTGGTAAACCCAAACTTACTGCGTTCCGTACGATTTTTTTTCTTCATAAATCGTAATATTTTCAAATTTYAATTCAGTATTTTTGTGCGTTCCCAAGCCAGCCTAGCTGCAGTGCACACACGTCACGGATTCCGCCAAACCTCGAAAGAGTCGATGTTTTAAGGTAAATTTGTTTTCATATCTCTTTTGGAGAGTTAAAATTTATTTGTTAGACTTTAAATAAATATTATAAAAACATGCTACCAAAGWGTCGTAGACGCTGTATTTTATTTTTAAGATCGAAATACATAAAATACACAAGATCGCCGTGGTCGTTTTTTAGGCCGCTGGTCGTAGAATAATTATAATAATTATRACCTAGGTAGGTGCTTGAAATAGACGTTTTGGTTTAATGTTTAATTAATAGAAATACCCGTTATACTGATGAGTCATAATTCATAATCATAAGACAATAAGAAGTCATAGGAAACCATTAATAAATTAATAATACATAATATTATTGTTATATTATTAAAACATAAAAAAAWTTTTCACCAATTGGTGCATACCCCGTGTGCGCTTATGAAAAATATACTTATGAATAGTGTARGTAATATATATACATACACACATAAGTTCTTATTTCCCTCAATATTTTGCTAATATTATTATTATTTTCATAAAGGAGGTACGTCATACACCTAACTCTAATTTATTGCAATTGCATTCATTATTTATTTTCTAAAACAATAATATTTCAAAATTGTGTATATAATTAATTAGTATAATATTTATAAGTTATCGAAATAAAATAAATACACCAACTTATAGTTAAACAATATTAATTAATYCTCATAGMAACTATTATTAAATTCAAAATAAACCGGTATCCGAGTTCTGGTTGATAACTACTKGTCAGGGCTGGTGAACACTAGTATAAAACTAATAAGTTGAAGGTACTTGAATCAAATATTTAAATTTAAAATTTAAACTGGTTATTTTAGCTATAGATTATCTGTAATTGCTAAAAACGCATAGGTTATAAAATAAATTRTTGAACATTTTACTGACTGTGAATAATTTTCAGATATGGTTTTTGTCAGAGAAAATTTGACAACTAGAAATAAAGTATCATATTCAGCAGCATGAAATGTGTTAACGATGCAGTGTTTCAAAGACAAAACTTTATAGCAGTTATTAACCTGGATGCGGGGTATAAATTTTTCTATTTTTCAGTAAGTTTCCTTTTAATATTGATCAGAATACACATGTCCCGCAATTTTTTAATTAATTGTATTTTAATTACTGGTATAATACTATTCCAGTTATCCCAATTTCAATTAATTCTTTATTTATTTTTCCAATTGCTTTTGAAAACTATTAAACATTTTTCATTTTATATTTTCCATACCAACAACTAGATTTACTTTATTATCAAAAAATATACTGTTGAAGAAAATTGAAGCATTTTTACTGCCTCAAAWGATGATAAAATACTTATAAATAAAAAATGAATTTAAAAAAAACACATGAAATCAATTCATTCATTGCTTTGCCCTGACTGAGCGGACTGCTCAGAATCTAAAATGTTTTTTTTTATGGATATTTTTTCAAATACCAAAAATGTTTTTATTTTTAGCATATTAGTTTTGATAAAAGGAGTATTTATGATTGCTGAATTAATTATTTTGACCAACTTTAATCCATTATTATTCTTAAAATTGTAATAACACTAAAATGCAGTAACAGTTTAAGTGCTGCYATCTAGTGAATATTAAGTAAGATAGTTTTATCAATTTTTAGTTAATGGCGTATAGACTTTTGGTTGATATTAATTTCGTCAACTTAAAATGATACATTTTTGGGATAGTCCTTTACTGCATAGTAGGTATCAATTTATTTTGAAAATAATGTGTTTAGTCCATAAGTTTATTTCTCGATAACATTACATTATTATTTTTAAAYAGTAATTTTATAGTTTATTATGATTATGTATATTTGTTGGTACAACGATAGAGTTTATAGTTCATATTGTATTAAATCATAACATTAAATGTATATTGTACAATATTAATATTACTAATTTCTAAAGTGTAAGTTTGTCACATTTGTGACTTAATCATATATTGATAAATGCCTAAATTGTTGGCACTTAGCAATCAAGTTATTCATAAAAGGTGCGTTTTTAATAAAAAAAAAAAAGAAGCAAATGAGTAAAATATATTTTATTATTTGAAATCAAATACCTAATATTAATTATTTGTAAACAAAACAATGTCATATACTTGTAATATAAAACATTTTAACATAATAAATTGAAAATCTTCAGAAAAACATAAACAAACCCACATTTATGTAATGGAAAAAATGGCACAAACAATAAAAATAATAATAATGAAATGTTACATGATAAGTACACCACCTGCAGATTCTTGTTTTACAGCACCTAATTCGTCCAAGAGCCCTGGCAAACCTTCTGGGATTCTGCCTTCATCAACTTCGACACACCACGTTCTGTACTGTGAACAAATTTTAATAAACAATATTACAAAACACCAAACAAGACATTCACTGCAATGTTATCAAGTACATTCAATATTAACGGTATAACATAATACGATGCATGTAAAATAAYAATAATATACTTTGTCCAGCTCCTGTCGGAGAGCTATGACTGCCTTTTCGCGATCTGTCACCAACTCCTCCAAGTATTGGTAGCGTAATTTTTTTCTTGCCCGACATTCTCGGGCACTTTGTCGGCTCCTCTCTAATATTGTATGAAACAAAAAACAGTCAATAACGAAGACGAATGTTTGGGTTCCACAGGGTTTGAACCTAACCTAGTTTGGCTCTGATATCCACTTTGTCGCTGGACTTCTTTCCAGGCTTGCGTCCTCGTTTGTTAGTCACTGGTGGTGGAGTCGTCGTAGTTGTTTCTTTCACCTCCTGCGCTTGTTCCTGTAGTACAATCGAGCCGTAGTCTCGTTTAATATTATAAGAATATCATTATRTCGAAATCGAAGGCTTTCCAACAGTTCCAACGACCCTAGTCGAGAGATAAAACACGCGTATCTTACCACTTTTACGAGATTGTCGAAGTCCCGAGCGTTTATGAATGATTCCTCGAAATCCATATTGCCGTCGAGGTTCGTCGTAAGCCGTCAGTTTTTGAATCGCAAATCGTGTCCAAACTCCAAATCGAAAACCCGCGAATGGCGAATGTCCAATGTTTATAAACAACAAAATCGTGTGACAAATGACAATGATAATCATCGAATGATAAGGAAATATTTTTTCTATTTTGTTTTGAAAACAACAACAATATTATCGTTGCGCCAACTACCGATGTTTCACTAGCGATGTTTGTTACCCCAAAATAAATCGATGTTTCTGAAGTCAACAACTWTTATACAAAACCACTGTATTTTTTCTGTTTTTCACACGACCTTTGAGAATTGTAAATAAATAAGAATTAAACACGGGTAAGAGAATGTTACATTTCAATGTTTTTATTGTTTTGCAAGAGCAAAGATTTCCGTTGAAAAACACAATCTTAACTCTCTTAACTGTAAAAATCGAAATTTAAGACAAAAACTATAAATTGATCTCGATTTTCATACGACAAAGAACAGAATATAATTATATTAATATTAATGTTATTTGTKAGCAGTGTTAGTGAGTTGTTATGATGTAAGGTTTATAAATAATAATATTATTATCTATAGACCTTGTTTACCATGTACCTATTACGACAGTTGGCCATAAATCTTAATTGTATATCATAACGCGACTTCTTCGTTGTCGATTTAAATCTTAATAAAATCAATAAACCAATACAATTGTTTATTGTAATTTCTAAGATGAATAACTATAATAAGTAATGTCTATATTATTATTTATCCATTACTCATTAGTAATGAGTCATTACTTATACGCAGCAGCGGATCCAGAGGTCACCCAAAGGGAGGGGGTGAATATTTCAAAATTAAATAAGCTGATTTTATATAATCTSTAATTTATTGGAGACTAAAATTATTTACATTATTTCACCTATAAAATTAAATAAATATGAAATTAATAAACTTCATAAGTTATAATTAATTCCTTATGTGTAATTATTATATAGTAGTACCAAAAAAATAAAAATATCAGTTTTCAGCCCAATTTTATAATATAAAAATAACGTAAAAAATACGGCTCAAGAGGGGGGGGGGAGATCGCCCCATCAACCTCACCCCTCGTATCCGTCACTGCTATACCTAAAATTAGCAAGTTAAGAAAATGTCAGCGCAATAATTGTTTTCTCTATCAGACTCACGTGCCACATGGATCAAATTAATTCTTTCACCTTTTAGATTCTGAACGAAGTGATGAATGTATTGATTTCACAATGATGTGTGTTTTTTTTGTTTTTGTGTCTGTGTACAGCATAACTAGTCGAAATAATGCTTCAATTTCAAACTTTGGGGTGGTTTCTGATGTAAAAGTGAATACCCTTGGTGCATTATATAGGTCAAAAGTTAACATTTTCCAACAGTTTAAAAAAAATCGAGAAAAACAAAAAAAAAATGACAGAAAAACGGGAATTTTTACGCAAAATCAGTTTTCGACCAAATCGATTTTTTTATATGGTTGTAATTCAAAAATTAATCACTGTAAATAATTGAAATTTTCACCGAATGTTTATGTACCTAAGTGTTATCTATATACAGTTTAATTTTCAAAAATTCTTAATTTTTCTGAAAATTTTTTTTTAAAGTGTCGATAAAATTTTTTTTGCCATATCAAAATACTTGAAAATTTAATACAAAGTTCCTCATAAGTTATTCTTATAGTGATTAGAAAATTAGAAAAATACATAGGCACAATTTTTATTTATTAGCATTTGAAGTTCAAATATTGACTTAATACGTAAAAATTACGGCAATTTTCAAATTATCTTAGATAGAAATTCATAAAAGTTTTTCTTTTTTTAAAATTTTGACAACATACGTAAAAATCACGAAAATTCGCAAATTATTTTAAGCTAGAAATTTATAAAAAATTTTCTTTTTAAATCTAAGATTTGAAAATTTTTAATTATTTATGATATATCCTAGACAGATAAACCGTCTCCGTTCAGAATCGTTTTTTGTATACAATGATACCTATCATTGCATTCAAATTTAACCTACCCTAGTCAGAGGTTCACCCCACCCCCTAATGTACAGCAGAGCGATACTCACTTACCCGCTTTTTTTTTTATATATTTTACAAATGCACATACACAATCTATACATTTTGCACAATAAGCGTATAAGATAAGAGTTATAAAATAAACATGGATTGCTTAAAGAAGAAGCCACCCATTAGTGGCACTTACTAAATTCTTTCACCTAAAATCGTTTTTATGATTTTTGAGTAATCTTAGATTAAAATCATATACTAAAAATAATTATAGTGGATAAAAGTTTTGATGATATGGCATATTGATTTTTATATTTTATTATTATTTGATTTTTAAATAGACTTTCAATTTTTTTTCATTCTAATGATGTTGAAATTGTTTTGAGACAATATTTAGACAAATTTATATGCTGTTTCTTCAAAACTATTATTTTCTTACGATTTTGTATTTTGCGATTTTATTATGAGATTCTTTAAAAGCATAAAAAAAATGATTCTGCGCGGCAAATGCGTTTTGTCTATGTTTCGCGTGGGCCAGAGAAAGACAACAAACCGTGGCGTTGAGCCGCTGACATCCTTTTAAGATAAATTAAGTAAATAAAATTACGTCAGTTAAAATGGTAGGTTAATAATAACTTTGTTGTATTATACTCGACATTCGTAAATAATACTAAGATGAGTAATTTTGGTTCGTATACTCGTAGGTGGGGATGGGGCGCAATTCTAATGAAACATATTTTTTTGAAGTGCTGACATTTTGTAGCCTTTTTTCAGTTTTTTCAGTTAGTTTTGTTGTCATGGGCGATGATCAGTGGCCGCGTTTACGGTTATTTTTTATTTGAATTACCTTAGGTGCATCATAACAACAAAATGAGTTTTTTTCGATTATTTAAGGTATAATTGGTTTTCTCTTTCGTGTAATATATTCTCTCCGTTTCTTATGAATTATTTTGATTTATCCTTATACGCTTTTGAAAATTTCTAAGAATTTTTAATTTTGACCTAACAAATGCACCGACATATTATTCTACATATAACTAGGTAATTGAAAAATAAAATTACAATAGTTGAAAATCGACTGTATTATTTTAACTACTTATGTGTATAGTATCGTGTTTATACGGACTATCAAAAAAGCTTTTTATTAATTTTGATCTGTTTTTCAATTTTTAAGGTATAATAAATAATAAAGTATTCAGAATTTTTAATTTTTACTCTCTCAAAGTACCGTCTAAATTTACTTTTTTATACCAGAAAAGATTAAAGACGAAAATCAAGTATTTTTCTCGTATAAAAAGTTTCTTCAGACACAAAAAAAACACACGCGTCATCGTAAAAATACTAAGATCATCCTCCACTCTGAATCTAAAAATTAAAATCCAACATTATTTAATAAATTCTAAATTTCTAAATAACGATAAACTCAAAAATTGCGTAACCTTTTAATTTTACCTATAAACGCCTAAGGTAAAACAAAATATTAATTTAAAAAAAAAAGTAAATATTTTTATTCCTATACAAACTATTTCGATGTTTATTATTTTAATGATGGTACTGTCAGCCAATTTACATATTGTGAGTGCATAATATAATGCCACCCGTAAAATATTTTCAACTTGTTTTTAAAATGTTTTCTTTTTATAAACTGTTTATATATATATATATATATATATTTTTAAATTCAATTTCCGAGGAATTCGTCTCTTTTTGTCTCGTCTCATTTGCGTTCAGTTAAATTATATAATTTGAAGCAAATCTTTTGCAGTAGGCACTACTCGCTTTTATACAGGCGTATATTTATGGTGAATAATAATTGTATATACGATGATATAGTGATATATAGGTATACATTGTAGTACGTACGACGATATGATATTAGAGTCACGTCGAATTCACCAGAGATGTGAATTGTTTTTTCTCTTTCGACTATTATTGTGGTAATGGCGTCGTCGAATATCTGAACGCTGAAGCATATTCGTGCTCGGTGGCACGCGCTCGCGTGTAATCCAATAAGGCGAAGCATAGAGCCGACACCGAATTGTTGCTATCTCGCACACGATCCCAGGAGGGTTATTGAACCTTTGATATCAAATCCCTAGTGGAATTTGTGATGCCGGATGTTGAATGTATATATTAGAGATGATATACTCTCTACATGTATATGCATTGTTATATATGACGGATAGAATAATTCCAATTTTCAGCATTGCGCCAAAACAAGAAACAAAACAAATATGTATGTATATTACCATTTACCATATAATATATATTTTGCACATGGATATGAGATTATCTATACTTTATATAAATTTGCTTGAAGTTTTCTCTCCGACTTATGTAAAACGATTCAACACATTCAGTGCAGTAGATATTTTTATTATTATTATTATTATTATTATTATCATACAGTATATAAGTAGGTTAATACAAAAGAATTGACTTTGGAAGACAGTAATATAAAAGACAAATCACATCCACATGAATATATTTATCGTAAGTATTAAATATAGATACTTGTTTCTATGATGGGTATATATTTTTAAATTTATTCGCACCACATACATCATTATTGGATGGTGGTTTTTATTTGCCTGTTTTTACTATGCGGGAGATATACCTATCAATATCATAACATGTGTACGTGGGGCGAGGTTCGCCATCAAAAACCCGGTTGGTCACTCATTCGGGAAGTATCGGCACCGATTGATGCTTGATCTCAGAACATATTAGTGACTGAGGCATACAAACGAGCCACACCATCTCCCGATATAGGCATTTTGTAACATTTATAAGATCTATAACATATACCTCGAGTGTAGTATGTACATATAATGGGAAAACGCGAGTTGGGTCCCGAGATATTTGATCTCTTAAAAAAAAAACACGAGTTGGGTCCGCGGTATTATTTAATATAATACTCGAATTGGGTCCGCGGTAATATTTGATAATACTCGAATTGGGTCCGCGGTAATATTGTCGGTGCCGGTCGCACACGCCTTCCACTGGAACTGAATATATTGTATATTATTTTAACAAGACGTATACACGATGTATAGATGTGGCCTATAACTTTCTAGTAAATAGTAATAATGTAGTATGTACTATAATAATAATTTTAA